GCCCAAGACTTAAAACATTAAGAGGACAGGAAAAAAAATCATTCTCTTGACCTTGAGGCCCATTTCTTGCTGGTCAGCAAAGTTGTTAATTGAATATTCGGCTCTAAATTATACATAATTGTGAATCCCTGGGGGAATAACTTGTCTTTTTCTGCTACTCTGAGCATGCTGATAATATGAAAAAATGATTTAAAAGCAACTCAATTTTTTGGGTGAGATTGCTGCTGTGGGGTAAGGGATCAATATGAAAAGTTGTATATACCGTTTGCTGCCGTTGGCCTTTTTATAGCCACCTGGATTTTGTACCTTAGTTTTGGCAAATGGTGTATTTTTAAAACAATAACTTAATTCTTAATCATTTCAATAATCAGTTGGCTGTTCTTCCAATAAACACAAGTTAGGGCACATTTGTGGATTTTTTTGTGTGTTTATGGGCTCAACCATTTTCTAAACATTGTATTGTAGGCGGTGACGTTGACATTGTAGGTGTCTAGATTATTTGTAGACCAGATGTGGGTCAACCAACAGATAGGTAAGGGGTAGGCTACCAAAGTGCCCATGTTGACTGAAGGGCAGGTGTTGGAGAAACATTCAACCAGGCTTACTCACTCAGGATCCATGTGGATCATGCAGTAACCTATAGCAACCAATCTGAATTTATCCCTCACTGTCCTGACTTCAGTAAACAAACCTGGGTGCTGTGGGGGACTTTTAGTGGCTTTTTAATGCATCACTAAATGGGCACTTATATACAACCAAAGCTTTTCATAACTCAGTCAGACTGTATAATGGAATAGTCAAAACAAAATGGTTCCTATGTCATAGTCATCTACCAGGACTTATGCTTCTAAGCCAAACAAAATACCCAACCCTTTTTGTTTACCACAAACAACTTTCTTTGCACACATAATGGGAAAAAAACAAGAATTCACAAATTCTTATGTGTGTTTATTTTGCTTAATATTTTCTTTGAATGTTCTTCGATATCAGACTTTTCGTAATACACAGAAAGCATTTTGTAGGAGTCTTTTGTTTAATGATTGATGTCAGAGCAGGAAGAGATGATTATCATATAGATTTTTTGAGAAGACAAATTTTGTAGGTAGAATGGGAGGGCAATACATGATTAGAAGATCCAATTTAACTTATGTACCATATTCTGAAGCAGAGGATCATGGGAAGAGATCTGGGAATAAAATACATGGTAGCTTTTATGGAGATGTAGAAACTCGACAGAGTAGTAGATTTACTTGCTAATAGGCGCACAACTCTGTTTACCAAATTTTCAAGCACATTAACCTGACATTTCCATATTTTCAATACATTTTTAGCATTGGTGTAAGTAGGGACTTTTGCACCCCAAGCAAAGGATTTGCAACTATTTGTCGTCCCCCGCAAACAAATTTCGGTCCTATTTTTGTCATATTGCATTCCTGTTTCTATGCTCCCATTGGATGCATTTTGTGTCAAGAACACTTGGTAAAGATTTAACATCTACGAGAACAGCATTTACTATTTTGTTTTTAGGTCTAAACATGAAACTACTTGAGAAATATAGACTGCCCTACATTTTTATTTTTATTTTTTTAACTTAAAGTCTGTTCCAAGTTTATACGACGTTACACAAATTTTTTTAAATTCTTGAACTCGATGTGCTTCACAGTTGAGAAGAAAAGGATCTGTAAATTACATTCATTACTTTAGTGGTTTAAAGAGAAAAGACTTGGCCAAAATATTTTTTTCTCCACCTGCGGCACGAAAAGACAACTGAACCTACCAATGGACTTCTTGGATTACCTTAAGAATATCTTGAGAAGACCAGCACAGTCTGACTTTCCCTAGTAGTGTAATCAGGCACGAAAGGTTTAAGTTAACAAAGTATCCTCTACTTTTGGAAGAATGCACCTACAAAGAAGCCACAATAACTTTTCAGTTCAGGTGGCATTGTGTGGTTATTGGAATATTATGACCTTACTTCCAAAGTTTTTATATCAAGAAATGCTAAAACACACAGATTGCCAGCCATGCTAAAATACACAGTTGGCCAATCTGACATTTCTATTGGGTGCAGATCTCAGTTTCGGTCTCCATTCTGTATTGAGTTTGCAACAGAATGTTACGATCACCATGTATACTTAATGGGGCAGTGCACGGAGCTGTAACTATATTCAAAGTGTAGTAACCCAGAGCAACCAATAAGATTTTGGTTTACTCTGGTCAGATATTTAGAAAGTGAAATCTGTTTGGTTTGTAATAGATGTTGTACTTTGCACATGGTTACTGCACTTTGCCCAAAGGAAGCATGCAATTCCTTGTGATTAAAACACAGTAAAACTTAATATAACTTTATACCCAGCAACACAAATGGTGGAATGTATTAACCAGCGCTTTCCCATTTCCTATTGGTACACACAGATATAATCATCACAATACATCCCCATCTACTAAAGCCATATACAGTCGTGAGAACATTTTGTGAACTAATTTTCTTGATTTCTGCATGAATGGCTCTTCAAATATGTTGTGAATATTATCTAAGCCCTATTGAAAATTCCAGCTTTATTTGACAAATAAATAGTATTTTACATTCTTTTGATTAGTCAAGGTCATTTGTGAAAATAGTATACAAACCACTAAATGTAATAACTAGTGGAACTTGATGGAGACTTTAATAAATGCTGGCAGGTACATTGCTTAGAATGTATTTGACCCATTCTTGTATATCAAAACCTTTATTCATATTTTTACGATGCCTCGCTTGAATGGCCTGGTCCGATTACACCACAGCATTTCGACAGGCTAGAGGTCAGGAGCCTGCCTCGGTTATAGCACACTATAAAATGTCTTCCAATGTTGTTTACATGCTACTGTATTTTGAATTGTTGACAGGTTGCTTAGCCCAACGTCGCTTGACAAAAACACCAACATTTGCAGTACCATTTGTTATACAACATGCTAATAATTGGTCCCTCAATGGTGGCAAGACCTCCAGACCCTAACACACCAAAACATTCCCACATCATTATGCTCCCCCCACACTGATGCAGAGTTTGGATTAAGTTTTGGCATTGGTTAAGCTTTTTGTCTCCAAACATGACAGTGCATACATTAACCACAATGTTTACCTAAAGTCTCCTCTGTCCTAAGAAAAAGATTATATTAGTGCCAAGGGACAGCCAGGTAGTCTTTAGTAGACTTGAAATGGGCAGCAATGTTTTTGTTTTGGCAATCTCCCATGAACACTACTTTTATTAAGAGTTTTTCCTATAGTCAACTTATAAACAAGATTGTTATCATGTGCAGCATAATGAGCACTAATCCACAGAGGTCACTCCAGGTTTATTTGACACCAGTTTAAAGATTGTGAAGATTGACCTTGTATTAAACTTTGTAGGATGTCCCACCTAGAAAAAGGGGTAATGGTACTGCCAACCTGGCGAATAATGGGCCCCAGCCTTTGGAATTTTTTTAAACTCTTTCCATTCTCATGAGCTTCAAAAACTCTTCTGAGATTTTATAAAATCTCTTTTATAAATGCCGTATTGCACTTCAGCAGGGTTCTTTTGCAAGAATAGATACAAAACTTTTCCACGCCTAAATTTACTGGAATTGCTGATGCCAATTACACTCTTTTTATCTTAGAGATCAATGACCTTGATAGTGTAACCTTGTTTTTTTTTAAACATGAAAGCTATTGAAGAGTAGGATATGTGTTGTTGTTAGATACTACTGCCTATATTTATAGCCATTAATGCAGAAATCAGGAAAATTCAATTCACTGCCCTTCCCTGTAATTGCTTATCTAACTGACACTTTTTTCAAATACCTCTTTAATATAAACATATGCCATAGTACTTCCCTAAATATCAACATGTTGGTTTTTAGAGGCATCCCTAAGTGGCACTATAGCTTAAGGCTACAAAATGTAAGTACCTGCATGCTGTCAGAGGTGGCGCTATCTACTAAAGCCTCAAAGTTATCAGTTAACCCTTAAGTGCTTGACAATCGCCCTAAAACTAAAGCAAATATTGTACTTAAAAGGAAACATAGCCAATCCTATCAGAGATATTAAAGTCTTCAGCAATACTTCTTGCAACACCAATATAACACTAAAAATGAGGGTAACAAAATAATAAGTAGTAATGTATGTAAGGTACGCTTTAATTTTTCAGAGCAGGCTGTATTTTTCATTTTGCACTCAGTATAAAATATATGTAGTCTAAACGGTCTGCGTTGTCCTCTCTATATAAATATGCAGGTATATGCTATACATCCACAGCTCTATATACGTACATGAAAACATAAATATACATATCTCCGCAGACTGATATGAAGCAATATTAATATTCAATATTTCAAGAAAAAGCAGTAACAATTCAAGTTCAAGAGTACACAATAATATGGAAAATGAAGTTTTTTGCCCAAGTAACATGCATTTTAGAATTAAAGGTAAACCAATGCATTATGCTAACGTAAAGCTTCCCCCACTATAGGTACTATTCCTATTTCATTTACAAGGCAAAAACTGAACAAATCTTGCTCAAAATGCAAACATGACCAGTCCATTATGCACTATGCAGTAAAAACCAACTTAAACCCTTGGTGATGGTGTCTATACCTCAACTCGCATTACAGAGGCATTATCATTTTTGTAAACAATGCATGTTTCACTGCTTTTTTTTTTGCATAGTATATATAACAAGACAATGCAAGTATGACACAACATAGAGTGGCTTCATTACTACAAAGTCAAACTGGGAAACCAATAATTCCTTCATGAACATTGTATGCTAGTTTGAGGGCTTCACTCAAACTATTAACTCTGAGGTCTGGTAAAGCACACAGCATTCTGCACTTGCCAGGTTAATCTAGGCTCAGACAGACACTGCACAGCATAAAGAGAAGAAAGAAGAAAGAGAAAAAAAAAACAATACAGACACGGAACTCGTGCACAGCCAATTCCTCCAAAATCAAATCAAAAGGTGATTAGATTGCCTTACCCTAAATGAGCAGCCTTGTAAGTCATTAGTGGCAGCAGACGCATGTAAAAGAGATGGATTCATAGTGTATCTCTCAGCCTGTCTCCAGCAAACATCCTTTCCAAACGGTATGGACATCTTAACATCACAAGTAAATCTGCAGCGTCTCTTATGGTCCAGATGGGCTACACCACAAGCCAATTCAGCATTAATAAACACCTACTCTGGGCAGCTTGCAAGTCATACTTCGTACTATCATAGGCAACAGCAGTCGACTGACGCACTCATTAACCTCTATGCTGTCAAAAGGACCAGGAACGCAATACACTGGAAGCCCGCTTGGCTGCAAAGAGGTTTAAAGATCAGTGGAGGGAAGACAGCAAAAAAAGATTCTTGATTTTTTCGTTAAAAAGAAAAAAAATACAAACAACAAACCCTCTTTTTTTAATTGTCAAGATCAGGTTAATTTGTCTTCATTTAGGAGAAAAATTTGAAATAATTCTTCATTACAGCAGTTTAAGTCAGCAGGCAAAAAAAATTTGTTAGACTCGCATAAGAAAGTGTCAAATTGTTACCTCATTATTTAACAAAGCAGCATTAAGGGTCCTGGTGATTTCAAACATCTTGTCAGAGAGTAACAAAAAGGAGCCTTTGCTATGCTCCGTCTGGAAAGGGGTCTGTCCGAATTGTTCTTTTTTTTTTTTTTCTCCAAGAGAGTCAATATGAAGATTCCCTAGAGTTCGCACATCAGAGCCTCTGTTCAGCTTGCCGGATTTTCCCCCTGATCAAGCACGTAGAGTACAGATGGATACAGCAGCATGGACTGCTCCCTTGCAAGGTTACACTGCTACAAACATGGCTGGTGTTAAAAGTATTCTTTCAAAGTAACAATTCAAAGCATCACCACCAGGTGGTTTGTGAGCGCACATGCAAATAACCTTGAGAAGGAAAAGAAACCTGGAGCTTTTTGGTTGGATGTGCTGAAACAGGTATATTAACAGCTCACACCATGACTTGTGTCCCTCCAATCAACCCTGGTGCAGCCTATCGCTTGTCACTGCCCACTATAATCCCCCCACCACCACCACCATCACTACTCAAGAAATACTTCTACATTCCAAAACAGTCTAAAGCTTCATCTTGTACACCGCATCAATGCAAGTCTCACAATCATCCTGTCTGCATTCCGTTGTGATGTAAAATTAAACCATTTGCACATTATATTGCAAACTCACACCTAATTTATAGAAACTGAGATGTAGGCTGGGATGTAGTTATATCTTGCCTTGCAAAAGAAAATGTCTAATGCGTTATTGCTGCACTAGGCCAGTTTACAACAGGGTAATGAGGATCTTTACATTCGATGCAGTGCTATTTTCTATGCAGAACCAGTTGAGCGGTTAGAAAAAGATTTTGTGCTGCTCGATTGCTGCAATGGTTTGGTGGAAGTGATGTCTCAGATGTATTCAGTATCTAGTTGGTATCAAGAAAGCTGTAAAGACAGCATAGGAAATAGAATCGACATTAGTTTTAATGGAATGTTTAAATGAAAAGCAGATTCTTTATCACGTCTTAGTATACCTTTTGATGTGAACAATCCATTTCCCTACCAATCTTAAATAATTATTTTACCTTTTTGACTAAGGCTCAAGTACAGAGAGTTCTGTAGGCAAAACTGTCAAAGGTCCACAATTTGATCCAAGTGTCCATATGTGACTGCAACTCTGCTATATTTACTGTGTGTAATACACAATGTGGGGAATTTATCAAAACTGGAGCAGAGAAAAGCTGGAGCAGATGTGCATGGCAACCAATCAACATCTCTCTTTCATTTTCAAATCTTAACTGAACAAACTAAAGAGAGAAGCTGATTGGTTGCCATGCACATCTGCTCCAGTTTTTCTCTGCTCCAGTTTTGATAAATTCCCCCCAATGTTTTCCATAGAGAATGAGGAATCATTCTTCTTTTTCTGTCCAGTTATCTGCTGTTTGAGGCTTTAGTAGGCGTATCTGGTTTACTGAAGGAATATTTAAACTCCTTTAAAAAATAAAATAAAAAATAAGGCCAAGGGTGAACATGGCAACCTGAAAGTTGTTGAACAAGGTATGAGGGGTCCCTTGTTGAGATTCTGAACTGCAGGCCCATAGTTTTTAGTTGTGTTTTGGGATGCTTTAATTATTCTTAATTGCTGATTTGATAGTTATAAGTATAAGCAGTATAATTCACTATCAAACATTGTTGCAATGTCTAGGGTAATAGGACATCTAAAACAGAAAACAGCACAAATCTATAACAAGGTCACCTTAAAGCAATGTAACTTTATGGTATCTCAAAATGTTAAATCAATAATACATCAGCATCCTGTTTATTGTACTAATGTGATTCCGTGAGAACAGTTCAACAATAAGCTTATTTTCAAGACCGATTTTTTCTAAAATGGGCACAAATAACAGGAAGTACCCTTGTTTTTTTTTTTGCAATCATCATACAGAACATTTTAATTGTTGCAAGTAAGAGAAAATACTTAAAAACTCTGATCTAACTTTCAGCAGCCAAAATACTTAGGCTGGATTTGTGGGAAGACCACTTAAGCCAGGGTCTAGACTGACAATATTTTTGACCCTGTAGTAAACTCCACATGCATTGTCACTTCTCTTTATCAAATAAAAACAAGACTTAAGCATCTGATCAAAGATGGAATTACATTTCCCTGTAACATATATATTCTTAATTATCTGTGGCACAATCCTGGGTACCTCATTCTCCAGCTCTGCAGGACTTGCTTCATCCAGTGCTACATACATTAATGATTCGAAGCAGTAGTGGATGGGCAAACATCACTTTAATTCTTAATACAGACAGGAAGGGATATGGCGAAAGTATTACCTTATCTCATGGTGATACATAAAAGGATGAAGAGTTTGGAGAAGGCAGGAGAAATGAACAATCTAGGACAACATAGCTGATTTGGAAAAATTCTCCAATTCAGCTCACTTTCCGTTTCAGCCATTTTGGCCTAGATTGTTTACTTCTTCTGCCTTCTCCAAACTCTTCACCCTTTTGTGAATAACCCTGCTAGCATCCAAATTGGGCTAGATGTGGCAAAAGCAAAGACCATAGATGGACCGATGTCTTAGAGATATCTCCTATTCCTAAAATACCTAGAACCACAACACCAAAACATTCTGCTGACTTGCTTATCAGGTTATCAGGTTGATGTGGTTTATTGATGGTGATAATATTGATACCTTTTCAACTTTGAAAGCAGAGCAATTGCTGCCCACTCATGTAGGTTTTCAAGAATCCCATTTTATTGCAAACTAAGGAACACCTACATAAACAGATCAATTTGCAGTTTGTTTTGGGTGTGTCGCTTGTAATGATCAAGCTACTATATGTATGGCGACGTCATTTTGGTATCACTCCCTCTGAAAAGCCATGCATAATGACGTAATGTGCGTGATGACATCCCAGAGGGATGTAGTAGTAGTGAAAACTGAAAAATGGCCTGCTATATACAGGCTAGTATTCGCTAATACTCATGTCTGGGACGTACAGTTTTGTTTTTTTTTTTTTTTTTTTTTTACTGTAACAGTTTCCACTAGGATTAGACAGATACAAGGAGTATTTGGGTGCTCCTCACCCTCCTACATAGCCATGCATGGTCAGGTGTGCATGTTGGGTCAGGTGTGCATGTTGTAGAAGGATTACATAGGGGAAAAATGTTATGTTTGGTTCATGTGCATACACATGACTTCCACCCTATTTTGACTAGCTTTACATTCATGAGCAGGTCTAGCATCAAGAGTAAAAACTGTGAAAGACATACCACACGTTTTTATCCTATTCAACTGATGTTCACAAGTAGTAAAGGTATGTCTTTAGAGTTGTTTCCTTTTCTACAGAACAAAGCACAGTAAAACCCTCTTAAAACAGATGATATCTGCATGTCTCATTTCCATTGCAAATACCATAAATAAGGGGTTTCAGATATTAGGCTGAGTCATGAACTGCTGGAATACAGCATAAATGCATTCTACTATTAGACAGTCATTTATTTCCAAACTGCATACAGCTATTTCAGGCTTGCTCTCTATCATCAGTGCAGCCCATTAAAGCAGTGGCTTCTATGGAGTAGGGCTTAATGAGCTATACTTCTCACTGTGTATATAGAGATCAGTGTGTATATAGAGATTACTGTGTGCTATACTTCTCACTGTGTATTTAGATATCAGTGTGTATATACAGATTACCGTGTGCTATACTCTCCACTGTGTATATAGAGATCCAGGGGCAGACCTACTGCTGGCGCAGCCGGTGCAACGGGCTTCTGTGGGGAGGAGGGTCTCAATGGGCTTCAGAGCGGGGGGAAGTTGGGGGGCTAGAAAAAACATGGTAACTGCATGAATCTATAGCTAGCCTTTACGGCAGGGTGCACATTGGGAAGGCTTACAACAATACAAAACACAGAAAATCCCCAGCTCACCTGCCAGCTAGCATGCAACCAAACAAATTGCCCTGTCAACAGTATGCGTTAAAATCAGAGGTTTTAGTTGCACAAACTTTTGGCCAAAAATATGTAGAAGCCACACCGCCGCGCCAAGGCACCTCTGCAAGGTGTGGTCCTAACTCTATGTATATGAGTCTCCAAGTGTGAGCATATTAATGCAGTTGATAAATTGCATGCAGGTGTACCAGGAGTTAGCCAACTCCTCCTTTAACGCATACTGTTGACAGGGCAATTTGTTTGGTTGCAGGCTATCTGGCAGGGGAGCTGGGGATTTTCTGTGCTTTGTATGGAAGTTGGGGGGCCCAAGAAAAAATTATTGTATGAGGTCCCTTCGTTCCTTAGGTCTGCCAGAGAGAGAGAGAGAGAGAGAGAGAGAGAGAGAGAATGAAATAGAGAGTAACCTAAATTGAGGATGAGAGAAAGAAAAGGCGAGAGGGAAACAGATAGGTAAATGAGACAGAAAAAGAAAGAGACAGAAAAAGAGAGAGATAGAGAGAGAGAGAGAGAGAGAGAGAGAGCAAAAAAGAGATGGACGGGGGGAGAAGGAACCAGAACCTTATGCACCTCGCCAAACATGAGTCTACTGTGCAACTTTAGGCTGCTGTGCAGAAACATAACATGCCTGCATGTCTATTCAACTAATAAGGAGTTTAGCTTTTGGATAAGCAAGTGACATAACTGACAGTGTTGCTTACAGTCACCCATCTCTCTAGCCAGTTCACAGAAAGCCATCAAATAAACCCTAAGACATGCAAAGATTAAATGTATTTGTATTTGTGTTGTAACAATATTTTTATTAATTTCAATTAGAAATTAAACAAACATTTTGGACCATAGTTCTCTTTAGGGTCACATTAGGACATTTACTATGTCCTCCTTTGAACAAAAACTTAGCATATAGTGGGCATTTGCTGAGTCTTGACAGCGCAGAGCCGCACCACAGCTGAAAAAGATCCCAACAATATTGTCATGATCCACCCCACCACCTGATTGACAGCTGTGCCCACCCCTTCCCCTGTCCATCGCTCCAGTCAGCGATGGAGAAAAGGAGAGGGAA